TCACAGATGTGACAACGAGAGTTTGCTACCTCGTCGACACTGGCGCAAAAGGCGGCGTTCTTCCGGCGAATTCAAATGACCGGCTTTAAACTTACAGGCAGCAAACGGAAAGCCTATCGCTACGTATGGCAAAGGGTACGTTTACCTTAACGTGGGTTTACGCAGACCCATCCACTGGGTCTTCGTTGTTGCAGATGTTTCTGTGCCAATCATTGTTATGGACCTTCTACAACACCATAATCTAATCATCGATACTCGCAAACGGAGGCTAGTAGACGGAAACACTAATTTGTCCGTTTGCGTAATTTCTTTTACTGGTTGCAGATTATCCCCAGTCACAGTTAAGCATATGATAGACCCACTCTATCAACCACTACTCGATAAGTACCCTGGGATACAACAAACGCAACCGAAACTACCGTGTGTAACCAGCAATGTTACACATCACATCACGACTACAGGACCACCTGTATTCTCTAAAGCACGACGACTAGCTCCTGAAAAGCTAAGGTTAGCGAAAAACGAATTCGACCACATGATAGACTTAGGAATCATACGACCGTCAAGTAGCCCATATGCATCTCCGTTGCACATGGTCCCTAAAAAGGACAGCAACGATTGGCGTCCAACTGGTGACTATCGGCGATTGAACGCGAAAACCATTCCCGATCGTTACCCGTTGCCTCACATTCACGATTTGACAGCTACCTTGAAAGGTACAACTGTCTTTTCGAAAATCGACTTGGTTAAAGCGTATAACCAAATCCCTATGGCTACTGACGACATACCGAAAACAGCTATCATAACTCCCTTCGGACTCTATGAATTTTTGCGAATGCCTTTCGGTCTAAGGAATGCTGCTCAAACATTCCAAAGATTCATAGACGACGTTTTTCGAGGTCTCAACTTCGTACACGCGTATGTTGACGACTGTCTAATCGCAAGTCCGGACAGAGAAACACATCTCAAGCATCTGGATCTTGTTTTCGAACGATTACAAAAACATGGCATTACTGTAAACGTTCAGAAATGCCAATTTGGAACCGACTCGTTAGACTTTCTGGGACACACTATCGATGCTCAAGGTATCCGACCCCTTAGAACCAAAGTGGCGGCCATTCTGGATTACCCAGAACCGACCACCGTCAAGCAATTACGCACGTTTAACGGCCTGGTAAGTTTCTATAGACGTTTCATACCGAAATGCGCATCACTTATGAAACCTCTGACCGACCAACTTCGTGGAAATGCGAAATCCATTAATTTGGACGACACCGCACGAAAAGCATTCTCCACAGTTAAGGAACTGATCGCTAAAGCAACAATGCTCGCACATCAGGACACCGGAGCACCCATTAGCATCGCAGTAGACGCATCCGACTCGGCAATCGGAGGAGTCTTACAACAATGGGTTAACAACTCCTGGCAACCCTTGGCATTTTTCTCTAGAAGGTTGCTAGACACCGAATCGAGGTACAGCACATTCGGTAGGGAACTCCTAGCTATGTATTGTGCTGTACGGCATTTCCAACACTATATCGAAGGCCGTGAATTCACTCTTTTCACGGACCATAAACCGCTCACTTTCTCGTTAAGCTCTCCTTCTGACAAGTACTCTCCCCGTGAGTCTCGACAACTGGACTACATTTCGCAGTTTACTTCAGATATTCAACACATCTCTGGAGCAAACAATGTAGTTGCAGACGCCTTTTCTCGCATAACTTCCTTGAACAGTTTCCAAGGAATCGACCTTCTTAAACTCGCCGAGCTTCAAAAAGAAGACACTGATCTTCAGCACGAGTTATCGTCCACAACACTTAAACTACGCATCAAACAGATGGGAACAGGTAAGGAAACCTTACTTTGTGACACATCTACAGGTAGGGATCGCCCAATCGTGCCGAAACATTATCGACGCAATGTCTTCAATACATTGCACAAACTTTCTCATCCAGGTGTTCGTGCAACCATCAAGCTTATAGCAGAACGATTTTGCTGGCCTGGCATGAATAAAGACGTGAGGGAGTGGGCACGCTCCTGTGTAAGCTGCCAAAAATCTAAGGTTATCAGACACAATAAATGTCCCTTAGGCTCGTTTAAAACTCCCGATGCTCGTTTCGACCATGTTCATCTGGATTTGGTAGGACCTTTACCAGATTCAAATGGATACTCTTATCTCTTAACCTGCGTAGACCGTTTCACTCGATGGCCAGAAGCAGTACCTATCAAGGACATCACTGCTGAAACAGTGGCCTGCACCTTCGTAGAACGATAGGTGGCAAGCTTCGGCTGCCCTTCAACTATAACTACACAAACATTTATTCTAGCGTCATATCTTACTGGAATTATAAGTTATTTTTCTTAATTATTTTTTGTTACTAATTTAACGATACACACATAGTTGTTTATTCTTGTTCTGTGTTCGTAAACACGCCTATTAGACTGTTTGCGTATTTCTATTCCCTTATTTTCTCCATTTCCTTCTTTAACTCAATTCAATATTCTTCTCAATTACACAGACCCGATTTATTACTATTAATATTCTACTATTATTGCTCTAAATTTTTTAATGGCAAGTATAATGCTGAAATTATTGAAAATTGTGTATTATTGCATTTTTTGAAGAAACCCGAAATGGTTTCTTCACAACACTTATGTACCCATAAGATGTTTGTGAGTAATAATAATAATAATAATCACTACAGATCGTGAACGCCAGTTTGAATCTGAACTTTTCCGTCGTCTGACCACACTTTTAGGAATCACTCGCTTCCGAACGACTGCCTGCCACCCACAAGCAAACGGGTTGGTAAAACGCTTTCTCCGACAACTAAAAGCTTCACTATCAGCGGCAAACATTTCTCAGTGTACTGACGCTCTTCCACTCGTCTTACTTGGTATTCGCAATGCAGTGAAAGCTGACATTGGATACGCTGCGTCTCAAATCATTTATGGAACGACACTTCGACTTCCAGGAGAATTCGTTGATCCTTCGTCCTCTTCAATTAACATGGACCTAACCTCCTACACGAACAGGCTTACAAACGCAATGCGTTCAGTTAAACCTGCTTCCACTCGACCTCAATCAACTGATGTTTTCGTTCGACCTGACTTACGATATAGTACACACGTTCTCGTTCGTCGAGACTCACATCGACGGCCATTCGAATCAGCATACGAAGGACCTTTCAAAGTTCTTCAGCGCGAACCGAAGTACTATATAATCGATAAGAACGGAACCAACGATAGCATCAGCATCGATCGCCTCAAAGCAGCGTATTTAGAAGGAAATCCTATCTACGTCGATTTTCCTTCGGTACAATCGAACGACACGACTCCACTCATAATTCCTCAACCGACAACCAACACTAGCGAGTATACTCTGAATGTATCTGAAAATAAACTTAAAACAACGCGTTCTGGAAGAAGAGTAAGATTTTCAGAACATTTAAATGACTACTGCACGTAAGGCACTACTCGACATTTAATATTATCTCGATCTTTCTTATTACGATATATGATATATTTAAAAAACTAAAAAACAATTTTAATATGCTTATATATGTTTATTTTAAAAAAGTCTTTTAAACGATATTACGTGTAAATTAGTTCATATTTTTTTTCGCCGACGTTGTGTTTTTACACACATACGAGTGTATTTCGACATGCACTTACATTTTCTTTTTTCTTTTCCAGGACGGTTGGAAAAGAACGATGACGTTTATGAGGAGCTGAAATTTTCATTGTACATTTTCTTTTTTTGCTATGTTGTACCTCGGTCCCATATAGTAAGGAAAGACGACCAGACGCTGCTAATCCTAGCAAGCTATCAGAAGAGTGTTTACCAACGACAAACTCGTTGGGTTTAAACTTCTGGCTGGCCAAGTCTCAGGGTCATCACTAACCCACTAAGGGGGAGTGATCTGTAGCGGTAAATAAATCCCAAAATAAATAGCCCTGTAAGTTTTCGACATTGGATGCTAACCATATGTTTCAGTGGACTCATCTAGCTGAAGGCGCTCGGTCATGCATCCGCACCAGATCACGTGCGGTAACGCCGTGCTCAACATCTACCGCAATCGCTAGCCAGATTAGATCAGAGAATTCCGATATATTGGTCATCGGCAAATATACTCTTCCGATCTCCTCAACTCTGTCTTTTGATTTCTCTTGGTGGGAACGAAATACGTCAGAAGGTGTTACTGGTAGAAGCGTTGTCAAACACTGAATACTTGTGTCATCTTCAATCGCTAATGTACCTAGGTTCCTGCTTGGAAGTATTAGTGATCCAGTACTACTAGACACGGAATCTCGTTAAGCGAAAGCCTCTTCTATTCCTGCTACAACCATTTGGACCATTTGAGGAGTAGACAAATCAGTTAATAGAACTGATCGTCGAGCAACATTCAGAGTCAGAATCCTCAGTTATTTTAGTTTTGCAAGCAAAAGACTTGTATATCAGTTATCCAAGAACCGCTTTGCCCAATTCAAACCCATAACGTAAGAAATATTCTGTCAATTACTTTTAGCCTGCTGAAGTATGTGATTTGACGACCTTGGTAGACGCGGAATTTCGGTCGCGACCGGTACCTCATGGAATCCCGAGTTAAGAAGACTTGCTATGAGTTAAAGGATCACGGAGTGCTCCACCACCATGGTGCAGAAGATCGTTGGAGTCTAAGTGTGTTTAAGAGAAAATTCCACGTGGAAATAATTCGTCATGGCGAGGAGTCTGATACAATGGAATTCGATATGATCAATTTGGATTGCTCCTTCGCTAATGCAGTTCGGCGAATTTTGGTCTCTGAAGTTCCTTCTCTCGCAATAGAAAGGGTCTATGTTTCTCAGAACACGAGTATTATGCCGGACGAGGTTATGTGTCATCGCCTTGGCTTAATTCCACTCGCTGTTGACCCCAAATATTTTTTGTTCCCTACAAGAAAGCCTCCTGCTTCGACGATTTATCAGGGTTTGACCCTAAAGAACATCTAGTATATGATATGCGCGTTGGTTTTACACATTCTAGCAAAGATTCCCATAATAAACCTGGAAACGATAAGGATGACACTTTACCCGTGGCTCAGTATTTACCAGTGTACAGGTTTGTTTGTTTTTATATTTCCCTCAAAGTTACATTAGTTTCTCATGCACAAGAAAGCCATTTTGGTATACGTTTTTACAAAGTTTCTAGTCCAAATTAATTCACTGTTGACTCCTATCAGGATAATTTAGAAAATAGCAAGTTTTCGCTGTTCATGCTTAAACAACAATCATCATCTCTTTCCTGTATTAGGCTTTTAAGTGGTTGATTCGTATTTGTGTACCACGCTTGCGATATAATGCCATTTGGTAAGTCTAATTCACTATAGTCCGTAGAAGATCATATCTTCGCCGAATAAATTCCAGTCATCCCCATCGTTTTCCCATCAAAATAGATTTGTGTTGTGCTGTTACACATATTCTCATTGACTTGTTCTCGATCAGCGTGACCGGTTTTATCATTAGTACTCAGACGTGAATTCATTCCACTACTCAATACATTTACTCATATATGTTCATCCAACTTTTTCTTCTCTACTTTTTATTGGTTGTACTCATCTCGACACATTGACTTTTGTATTTTGCTCAAGTACAAGTTAGTGTGAAATTTACTGTTAGATATGATCTACGTACATAACAACCGTAGTGGTAAAACTGGACGTCTGATAATCCTGAGTTGTTTTTTAAGTGATCTGCTTACTAGCGTGAAATTAGGATGAAAGGATGATATTTAATTTTTCCGTCTTATCAGGTACCACCCAACCTCTGATGATCGACTAAATGCTCTAGAAAATACAATCTACAGCTCTTGACGTATTTGCGAATTCGTTTGAATCTTATCGTCCTATTCCCCCCTACACTAGGACTGCTTATGTTTTAGTGGACATGACTGAACTGTTAGAAAAATGTCTCCGAGAAATTTATTATAAGCTTGAAGTATTTCAGGTACAATTGCGTCCTTTTGTTCCAGGCTGGTAATAAGATTATGATAAGTTTTCCAATCTCACTAATTTTAGAAACAGTTATACAAGAGTGTATTCTGTTGGTAGTGTAAACTGAAACGGTCGAAATCAATCGTCGTATATCAAGACTTGAAATGGCATCCGATCCCTCCTTTACACTAATGGGATGCTAGCTTGCTAAGGACGACCAGTAAACGATTTTATTGCGTATACGATTTACTCGTTCTACAATAAATACCAAGTCAGTAATTAATCTGCCACGCGTCAACAACTCAGATTAAAAACACGTATTTCGTCTGACTTACACGCGTATTAATCGATCCAGAAGATTCAGAGGTTGGGAAAATGACATCAAATATCTGTCAGACCACCTGCCAATCTATCTGAAAGCAACAACTAATTACTGTCTACATTGACCTATGCAACAGAACACGAAGTGACTCATTCCATTTTAAAACTCCTTTGACTGCTAGATTAACTTTGTGCGGTTAGGTTCAAAACGTTTTGATGCACGTAATTTTTGAGTTTAGGATTCTCAAAAGTTTTCCACATTTGTTCATCGCTGTTCCTGAATAACTACCCAGATTCGGGGACGACAGCATATTAGTAGTGTTAAAGTTGGACAGCATACTTGAGAAATCATTATTCAATCGTTGATGTTATTTCGAAATATTGGTTATAGTAGGTCGAGTATATAACACATTGTTTATCTTGGGTTTCATTACCAAACGCTGTTACTACAACAGCAGGAGGAGCAGTTCACGGTATGGCTCCATGAAATGAAGAATAGTTGTGTTAATATCTGTGAACTCAATACGGCTCTTTTAGTAGTGTTCTAGAGATCGCAAGGCCCACCGTCCGAAGGTATTGTCAAATAAATCCCAAAATATGAGTTTTTAGCGATTATGCTGTAGCTTTTTGTTGTGCTCTCCATGAATAGTAATGTGTACCCTTGAAATACACGGGATGTATTTTTGCTACTTTTACTTATAGATGATTTACCTTCTCATCTCTCAGAAATACCATAAAATCCTAAGGCATTCTGTGCTTCTAAAGTGGTTTATTCCTGCTACTTGTTTGGTCATAATCCCTAAAATAGTTAACTATCTGCTATTTCCCCTACCTGAAGAGTTACATTTGCGACAGTGATAGTCTGTTAGAACACGTCGTCGCTACGAAGCACTTGGCTAACCATAAAATGTAGTTATTACAGGATGAATACACTAAGAGGTTGTTATTCTGGTAACCATTACTACATTCGGCGCTTTATTTCTATGTAATGACACGTGGTGTTTAAATTGTCTGTAAAATTTTCGTACCAGAAACAGATAAACCCGTAATTTACAAAAAAAACTATTGGCATACGAAACAAAGATATTAATGGTGGCATCAGTTCATGAATTTGACAATCGAACTCAGCCTTGTGGTTGGGTGTGAACCGCTTGGTTGGGGCCCATCCTAGCCCGTGGTTAGAGACATTGAATAACGTGGCTCAGCATAATTCTCAATGGCGCAAATGAATCCACTTCTTGCCTTCTTTCAAGTTCTGAGTTCCGTTATCTTATGCATTTCTTATTTTCGACATCTAGTCTTTTATACTACTAGTACTAGTGTTAATCTTACTACTTTGGGATTTGCTTTGATAATTTATTTCTTCTGTGCTAACGTGATGTGGCAACTTGAACTGATACGTGTGCCAGGCTCTACTTTACCTATGGCTGGTCGAGACAAAGTTGAGATTAAAACACTGAAGTAAGCTGTGAGTACGTACTACTATTTATTTTATTTATTTGTTTGAACACATAAATATTGGTGCAAGGGGGCACCAGATACATATGCACCACACAAATCGCATTTGGTTTGTGTGAGGGATGTATTTATTTATTTATTTATTTGGACACATGAATATTGGTACAAGAGAGCGCCAATATATATGCGCCACACAAAACAATGAAAATTCGAGAGGAATACAAAGAAGAAAAAAAAGCTAAGGAGCGCAACAAAACAAAGAGAGAACAATAACGAAGAGATTGGTGTAAGGTAATGTGCTAGTAATCAGGGAACGCAAAGGTACAATCGGAAGAAACCTTTCAGGTAAGGGAAACACAACCACTTTTTATGAAGAAAGTAAAAGAAGGTTACAGCAGGATCGCCACTGGCTTCTATTCTGAACCATATCTGATAACGTCTCTAGCCACTGTGTGGCACCATCTCTCAGACCCCAACTAGGGAGTCGTGAAGGACCAACACAAGCCAGTCCTTTGCAGCTTTCTTTCATACCACGACACCATGTCATGCACTGACCACCTCTCCGCTTCTTCCAACCAGTCCCAGAGTCGGCAAATAATGCACGACGTGGAATTCTCTGGGACGACATTCGTAGAACATGTCCAAGCCACCGAAGTCGGTGTTTCAAGATGGTGATACCAATTGAATTATCATCTCTGTGCCCGAACACACGATGCCGAGCCTCTGCATTACTGACATGGTGTTGCCACTGGATGTCAGCAATCCTTCGGAGACAGCGATGATCGAACACAGAGAGTCGTCTAACGTCCTCAACTCGGAGAGGCCAGGTTTCACAAGCATAGAGCAAAACTGCTCTCACCGACGCGTTGTAGATCCGACCTTTTACAGCCAGACTAACATCACGAAGGCGCCAAAGATGGCCCAGATTGGCATAAGCCGCTCTGGCTTTCACTATACGTGCATTGATCTCATGTGATACTGTCCGGGTGCCCAGACCGAAGCAGGTGGTTTTCTTAGGGGGCCACACCCGGAGCCTTTGACCTAAATGTCTGACCCAAAAGGTAGTGGAGCATCGTAAGGAGATGCATCCATAGTTATATAATATGCTCTTGTGGGCCAGGATAATTTTACATTGGTTTTCAGGAGAACCAGACTTTCACGTGACAACCCAAACAGTACATCTCAATCCCGTTTAACAGGAGAACCAGACACCTCCCAGGCTTAAATTTTATAACCCGAGCAGTACAGCTCAATCCGCTTCACAGGAGAACCAGATGCCGTATAGGCTTTAACGCTACAATCTGAATAGCACAGCTCAATCCTGTGGCGCAACCACACAGGTACCAAGCACCCTGAACTACTAAACTAAATCGTGCTTTAGAAGTGATGACGTTACAATATTATCACCTACCGTGAAAATCCACTAATATAGATATTGCATTTCTACTTGTGTCACACTAAAACTAACCGAGTACTAGTTTAGCGTTAAGTAAAAATTTAGCAGGTTTTGAAATATTTGATGCTTGTTACGCACAAGATGTTGCTCCAAAACTGTCTTGCATTCACCTTCAATATAAAAATCAGATAATAAAGCGGTTTAAATTGTCGCTGATATCATGTGTTGAATTCTGTATATCCATTGTAATAATAAATGAAATCTTTTCGTGTTCTGCGCATCCACTTATCACGTAGCACCAATAAAATATTGGACTTTAGAAGAAACCACTATATCAACACTATAGTGGGTAAGTGAGAATTAACCTACTCCATAATTTGATTTTTGCTTTAAGCCAAGGCATAAAGTTGGTTACTAGCGAACGACAAGCATAAAAAATATGCACTTCACAAAAGCCTTATTTTGAACACTTTGACTTTTAATAGTTCGGATCTCAAGTGGATACCACTAACCGGTCAGGAGGATCATTTTAATATCAATAATCCTCCTATTCCAGTCTCATCAACAATACTTATCAATAAATTAGCTCTTGGTGATGAAATCGAAGCTCGATGTGTTGCAGTGAAAGGAATTGGTCGGGATCATGCTAAATTTTCACCCGTCGCAGCAGCTTATTATAAATTTCATCCAATTATCAAACTTCTTCGTACAGTTGAAGGAGAACAGGCAGTTAAGTTGCAGAAAAGTTTTGCATCTGGTGTGATTGGAGTAAGTATTTACCTTAAATGATTTATCTTACCAGTCCTTTCATCTGATATTCAGCAACTAGATATGATCAATAAGGCTAGTCCCATAGCCCTGTACATAAACATATAGACAGTTACCTGGTAAAACAAGCATCCATATTTTAGAGTGCTGAAAAAGAGAAACCAATAGATTGTCTAAGCTGTTCGTTTATTTTCTTGTTTATTTATTTATTTGAACACATAAGAAGGCACCGGATATATATGCGCCACACAATTAACGTGAAATGACAATGCTTATTGGATATACTACTCGCACCCCTATTACAATTCCAATAACCCATACCCATTTGATAACACTCACTTTTATTTTTTTCATTTTCTTGGGCCAGTTTAGAACAAAGTAATGTCTTGATTGTTATTGACGGTCACTATCAAAAACAATTTGGAGCATCCTACTAGGATCTACTGTCTTACATAGTCTCATATCTATCCAGTCGTTTTCCAACTCAGTCACAAAATGGATAATTTTCTGTGATGTAATAGTCATGTAGTGGTTGATCGTTGGACAAATAAAGGATTCGTTTTTTAAGCTCCGCTTAATTTATTTTAAGGGTCTGATTAGCGTCAATGCCTAACATACAACATGCATAACTAAAACCCTGATATCGGCATGCAGTTGCAACTTTTTACTGAACTACAATTATACTCATCTGTTTGGTTCTGCTTCTATATAATATTTCGATAATGTAATGAGAAGACGTAGTTGCGTTATCGAAATTTATCAATGGGACTAATTGTTTTATATAATATTTATTTTACTTATTTGAACATAAATATTGGTACAAAGGGGCACCGAATACATATGCGCCACACAAGTCACTTGATTCGCGTGTGGGCTATGATACTGCCCGGGTGCCCAAACCGAAGTAGGTGGTTTTCGTAGGGAACCACACCCGGAGCCTTGGACTTAAAGATCTGATCCACAAGGCAGTGGAGCAACGTAAGGAGATGCAGTCCCATGGTAGCCTGTCACCAATGATTGGTTCATACGCCATTTCTTTCTTCAGGATACTGGGGCCCATGTGCACCATTGGTTTGGAATCAGGGTTTTCCAAATCTTCTAGATGAATCCTCCATGTCCAAAGCGCCAAACATTCGCTTTTCATCCTCTCAATGCCCCCACTACGAGGAGGCAGTGAGTAGGACTTTCTTGGCAGTGGCTGTATACGCGTGGCCATGTGAGAGCATTTCGAGAGGGCGAGCGAAGTCTCCCTACCCCCGGCCGCATCAGGGCACTTGGGGGCTAATATATCACGCTGGGAGTCGAACCCGAGCCCTCTAGTTGAAAGCCAGAAATCCTAACCGCTATTGTATTTTTTGACCATACAGATAATTTAAAAAGCCTTATTAATCATTGGAAAAGTCTCTTCGTTGTTGACGAGACTAAGAAGCAAATGAAAATTATTTACGAGCACTTTACTCAAAGTTGTATTCTAGTCTTGTGGGCGCATAACCGAATCATTGGGTGATTTGTGCCTTTCTGTTTTGTAAAGTGCACTCCCTACCTAATGATATGTTTTATTTCACACTATGATGCCTACTTTAGTAAAATTAATCTTTTTTTAACGTATAAAGACTATTTCACAGGTAAAATAAAGTATTACCCAGTTCTATATCTCAATATAAAGTGACTGAATTTAGAGGTGGAATCCAACAAAAAGTTACACCTACTAGCTGTATTTTACATTTCTTTTTATCTTAGATAAACTCAAAAACTGGTCAAGCCTTTGTCGATAATGCTCGTTTAGATAATGGTTCTCGAGAACATATGCGTCATCCTGAATTCCGTGACGATGTTATTTTCGTTGGGATGGATTCATCACATTGTATTTTCACTGTTGAAACGATAGCTCCTGGTAGCCGCCCTCCATCATCATTAGTCCGTTGTGCTTTAGGTGTTATGATTAGCAAATGTTCACATTATATGGCTGTTACAGAAACACCTGGTTTTGGAGATCAAGTTGAGGAGTGTAAACCACTCATTGATACACCTAAAGATAACACTGAAAGCCATACAACTGAAAAAAATCTAGTAAGTCGTAGTATGTCCTTTTGTAATTTTTTTTTAAAAATAAAGAAATTCGGCATATCTCAAGTTTCAAAAAAGAGGAATATTTATTATTATTATTATTATATTATTATTATTATTATTATTATTATTATTATTATTATTATTAATTATTGCGCCATGTGTTTGGTGTTTTCTTATCCATTGAGTAGTCCAAATAGCGGCTTACTTGTGTTGAGTATATAAGTGTGATATATATTGCTAGCTAAATATTGATCAGCACTATATGTCGCCTCTAGTTTATCAATAAAATCTACCTGTCTAAAAGTACAATGTGAACACTGAGCTAAGCAACATGCTTTTATGTTCCATTGTAAGATAATTAAGAATATTTGTAGCTCTCAATTAGGGTTTCGAAGATGTTTTACCCTATAAGTGAGGTCTTCGTTGTCCTTTTAGACGATATCATCAACGGATACTTTGAAAAGCCGTGAGCTGTTAAAATTCCTTCATGACCAACTAACAGGTTGGTCTGATGACCTAAAGCAGAAAATACTGTTTACCATAATTTACATCTAATGCAATTTATGAATTTATCAAAAGGATATATCCACTAAAAAAAGTAAAATGAAGGTATATTTATTTTCAATGGACTTTACAACGGATGATTAGTGTAAGTATGAACTAAGTGACAGGTAGTCAGCAAATATTAATCGAAATTGTAGATTATTCTTTAAAATTATGATGAACAGGTAAGTAAGTGAATAGTCCTAGGATTAAAGCGAATAAAACTTTTATCGCACCCAAAGAATAAAAATAAATACATTAAAGTAGATTGTTTGCGAAGTTCTTGAAGTCAGAAAACCGACCTTAGCTCGACAATTATTGGAAACCAAGAAACATTGGACACATGTTTCATCCCAGAACGAAACTCTTCAACAGTGCGCATCCACGAACTCACATAACGTAGTCTAATTCGAGACCTTCATGTTTCGTGATGAGCCCTTGGATTACTGAGCTAGAACCCAAAAGCCTACATTATTTAACTTCAATCAACTTGCGATACTGTGCAACAAGTAACTCCCCCCCACAGATGCAAAGCGTTTGAGTCCCACTGGTTATGGAAGTGAAATAGTTGTTAAGCAGTTCAACATGAATACACTACGTATGAGATAAGAGCAGTTCTATAAATTCCCTCCAATTGTTAGCGATTCGATCTAATATGAAGGATACCAGTATTTTCAATCCTACATGGTAGATGTATACGTAAATTATCTGAAAAGTTGGATGATACTGAATAATTTGAAGGGTCATGTTTATTTCAATTTAATGCTCAGTATCAATTAGACGAGATAGTATAGAGCTCTTGGTAACCATCAAAATATTCATGTTAACCGTAGGGATGATTTTATCTTTAATAACTCATCAATTTTCTTACATATATTTTAGCTATCAAGCATTAGTTTCTTTGTGTACTCGTAATTTTATTAGTTCATTTGTTTGTTAAAAAGTAATTTTATTCAAAATCTAACCCTGATAACATTTGTATCCGTTTCCATATTATCGATAGAAAAATTTCCGTTTTTAAAATCATCCATTCTTAATTGGTAACAGTATGAGTAAACGAATGGATAAAGGTTTTTCCAACTTTGTGGAGATGTTGCCTGTTTCTTTAATCTTACTAACGACTGAATTTCACATTTTATAATGTTTTGATAGCATGTTTTATTGTAATTCTTGTTTGAAAACTAACTATTGATTTATTTGAAATTACAGTTATTTCCTAAAGGTAATCGTAGTCATTTAAATGGACGTGAAGTTGGGCTTGAAGTAGTGCATATCACACATGACAAATCACGTGCAACATTTACTTTCTTTGGAGAAGATCATACATTAGGTTTAGCGCTTAGATATTGCATTCTACGAGAGTAAGTCTCCTGGTATACTCATCATATTTTTTTTTCATTTGTACTGTTTTGCTAGTATGCGTATTTAATTTTTATAATATAACTATAGGCTGTTCTATGAGTATTTTATTCATATCAATATTGTTAATCATCGTTAATAGAAGATCTTGGCACGAATGTGTATCAGCCCAAGCTGCTACATTTTACATCAGCAAAGAAGAGAAAATCATATCTACTATAACGGAAATCTAAAATTGAGAAATCCACTGCATGAGGAACAAATAAAATTAAAGAATGGAAAGTCAAGAACAATACTCAGTATTCAGAAAATAGAAAGTTAATGTAGCTACATTATAGTGTATGCTACTTATTCTGACAGATAAACAGTATGTAGAAGCAATCGGAAGTGGAATGCCTTTCAACAGAAGATTGAACAGGATGGGAATCAGAGAGCAATTGTAATAACAACAGAATTGGAAGAATCATGAAGCATTTAAAGGGCGATTGAAGGGAGATGTGTAAATAATGTATTTAACGTGTGGGTTTTTTTTCATATTTTATGACGACACTATAATTTTGCATTCGTTTTCTCCACCTCCGTTTTAAGCCATGCCACCTGTCTGCAAACATAAATCATGACAATTTCTCATGTCTCCAATCAATAAGTCCACACTTGCTGACGTAGTTCAGTCTAGATAACCAGGTTTAGATCCTGTGGTAGATTATGCTGTGGTCGTGAGCTAGTAATATTCAGAAAATGTATATTCATGGAATAATGAATAGTTTCGATAAAGAATCTGCTCCAAGTGTTCGTATATTTTGTGGAATACATGTAAATCAAGATCATAACTGTATATTTGAGTAATGTGTAATTCTACCTTCTTCATAAACTGGTTTCTATTAAAAAACAACTGAACTTTCAATGAAAAATAAACTACTTCTATACTCTGTTAGCGTGACATGTCAGTACAATGTTTATTATCAAGCTATTCGGTTAATTAAAAAAGCGATATTAGTTAGTAAAGACAGGGCTCTCGAAATTAAGAGTTTGACTGTTAAATCCTACCTTCACCCAGTAGGTCAATCTTAACGCCCTGATTACAGAACCTGAAGATCACGTAGTTAATTTCCTAAATCATGAATATTATTTACTCCTAGTTTTCACTGATTCCTCGAATTGTGGAATATCTGTTTGATTTCCAGATCCGATTCCCGATACTATATATCTAATTTTGTTAATCATAAAGAAACCAAATAGTACAACAAACTGTAAAAATCTATATCATCAAACTTCGTCTATGATGGTCAACAGTAGCATGTTCATGTGCCATCAGGTTTTTAGGTTCTGTTGTATGGATGATGAACAAACTGCAAATCAGTAGATAGCATTTTGACAGATTTTAGCTGTCATTCAAATAATGTGGTTCTGGACAAGGAATTATGTCTTTTTTATCCGTCTTCTTTAAGCAACTTGATCTTATGGTATTTTATGATGTCTTTTTAAGTTTCAGTTATACTGCATAGTTTAATATGTTTCACTCTCCTTCCATTCCAGTGAGTCAGTTAGCTTTTGCGGTTATTGTGTACCCCATCCTTTGGAGGATATGATTAATTTCGACATTCAAATGAAAAGTAAGTTATTTTGAAAACTCGGCTTTATTGAACAATGTATGAAATATGTATATACTTCAAACTTTCTAAAAAATTATCTTCCCTTTAAGTTAATAGTATGTGATCTATTCTGTCGTCAGATAAGAATATCACGAAAGATTTCCAGGTGAGAAGAACAAGTCAACCAATGGGATCGTGAGTGTGTATGCGAACTAAGATAAGTAAATCACACCACCCAGTTATTGTCTATTTTGATACACAAGGACAATATGAGTAAGAATATTCTGAGAATAATTTGAAAAAAGTTATTCTATGACATGAATCCAGTGTTTAAAACCACTAACTATTGGTTCTAGTTATATGTGAATGTGTAAATATGTTCCTTATGATTTTAGAAGCTAAGAGCTGGAGATCTCTAGATGGTGTGATATGTAGTAGTAGGTCGAATTATTTCTTATCTTTTAATTCTCACCCGTCTTATTACATTTTGTTAACTTTCTCATCTCCATTTATGTCATTTCTTTATACCCATTCCATCCGTATTGATATTCTTTCAAACGTACTTTAATACATGTTTAGGATATAATTACCTAAATATTGTAGTATAAATCTATCAATCTATATTGAGATATCGAAATTTAACATTTACTTCATTAAAATTTTGAACCGATCTAAGTTAGATCTAGGACGAGGCGATCGTCGAGTGCTTCCGGCTTTTCAATGGTAGTCTAACTTACATCGTTTCAGTATTTTAATGAAACTCAACAATCTCCGAAACCCTATAATTTCAACTAATGTTTGTTTTTACTACATTGTACTTGTGTTCTATTTTATTTATTTATTAAATGCATAAGCATTGATACAATGGAGTACCTAATTATACTTGCGCCATACAATGTATTTATCGTTTAATTTTTGTGTGAGCTGTTGTATTCTTGGGGTGCCTAAACCGAAACAGGTGGTTTTCCTGTGGGTCATCCCTTGGCTTTTGACATTCAGATTTAGTCCACAAGGCAGTGCGGCAACATAAATGTGATACCATGTTAACCAGTGATTAACGATAGTTTCATACTCCATCTGTTCCTTCAGGATCCCAGAGTCCATGTGCACCATTGGTTTGAAATCAGGTTATGTGCGTACATGTAAAAGATCTTGACTTAGTGGTTATGCGTTCGAATCCCCTACATCGTTAGCATATATGTGAAATCTAGTAGCACTAATACTTACTATTCTTAGTGGGACTGAATTCGAATGTAGTATCTATTAGTTGACGGTCAAGTACCCAGTCATATAATCAATTTTTAGGCATAACATAGCATTCATTCATCAAATAAATGAGAACCTATATGTTTTTTAAACACTTCAGAAGGTTCAGCTATCGATGCTCTACGAAATGGTCTCCAATGTCTACGGATTGTTTTCAACATATGAAGCAAACATTTATATCAGCAATGAAAATTTCAAGAAGTACTAGAAAATCATCATAATGAGTTGTTTTTCTTCTTTCCAATTGTATATTTTCGCCTCGATTTTGTCAGACTATTTCTAATACTGTTGCAAAAACAGAAACTGTACAAAAACAATTCAAAAGTTGAAAAAATTATAATACTAATAACGATAATGTAAAAGTATGATGTGATTTTTCTAGCTCAACTAACCTAAACAAATATTTCCAGAAAAAAGTGAAAACAATACTTTGAACCATGCGTATGAAAAAGCACAAGAACTTATAACTGTCTGGTGATACTGTTTCTTCCAACAGACTACAACTTTTGTCGTTGCTAAAGTTTATTGATTGATATGAAGAGTTCGTTTGTAAATTATGTAACTAGGTAGTTTTTGATGGGGGAGAATATGTCTTCTTTTATAGACACTTAGCTCATCCTTAATTAAGTAATCTTTGAGTAGTTTCAGTACAGTTATTCTGTTCAGAAGTCACATGCATATATGCCAAGACAGTAGTAAGAAGAACGTATCGGTAAATTTAGACCTATTTGATACTAGAAATATATTCGCATACTATTACAATACCTTTCATTTGTGCTTCACATAGTTGATCACTCGAATTTTGAATGAACTAACTCAGTCAAACGTAAAACTACTTTGGCAACAATTTATTATATGCGACTCGTTTGTTGATATCGTGAGACTAAACATGCCATAAACAACACGGGTAACTGATTGGCTGCGACAAACACTTGAGCTTTTCCCTAAGCAAATGCAATCTCGCTTCTTCTGGTGGTCGACTGGATTATGAAGACCCCGACATTGGAGAGGAAACACGGAATACAATGGACAGATCGGAATCATTTAGGAGATTTTTAATTCTCAGATAACCTGTCCCTTCTATCCCATACACACGAACAAACACAGATGCAGACACCTAATATAGTAGCATCCTCTGCACCAGTAGACTTCAACATACACAAGGTGAAAACCAAGATCCTCAAATACAACACGGAGAACACCGACTCAATCACACTTGGTGGAGGAACTCTTGGAAATGTGGAGTTTTCCATGTACCTGTGCAGTATCATCGATGAACATGGAGGATCTGGTGCAGACGCAAAAGCGAGGACTGGCAAAGTAAGGGTTGAATTCCTACAGTTAAAGAGCATATGGAATTAAAAACAACTGTCGACCAATATCGAAGTCACAATCTTCAATACGAACATCTGTATTGGCATTGGGCCGTAACCACACAATCCTCGTAGCTGAACACGAAACAACTGGGAAAATAGATATTCAACATTTAAGGCAGAGAAGACCCAACGATGGAGAAGGCGGGATTAATGGATCGAATTAATTCGAGTTGATCGGATATCATGGCTCAACCTCTTAGGCATGGTTGCTACCCATATTAAATATATTGTTCTATCTCTAGCCTCAATGTGTTCTCCATCATATATTGATAATTGTTGCGATACGGTGTGTCAGTGTAGACAATGATGTGGTTTCCACGTAAGATTTTATAGATTAGGCAGTTATATCATGACGAATCTGCAATTTTAGGATTAGGTCTATTATTAGAGCAGTACTAGTAGTACTTTCTCCATTTATGTTTAACTTCATCATAGACCTACTAATGGAAATAACATTCTCGTCGACTGAATTCTCGGGTATTGGCCTCCTTCCAGGAGGTCCACTTATCGACTGAGAATACGTAGATGATATTGTCCTGTTTAGTGAAGATGCTGACAAAATGCAGTCTTTTGGTAGCACTGAGCAGCAATGACAGGATGTTTGGAATGTATTTCTCCCTTTCGAAATGCAAATTGTTGTTTCAGAACTGGCCTGCGTCAACACCTGAACTAAAGATAGGGAGTAAAGTAGCCGAACACGTTGACAACTTCACTTATCTTGAGAGTCTGGTCAGCCCTAATGGGTTAGTGTCTGACGAAATCTCAGCACGGATTCGAAAAGCTCTCTTGGCTTTTGCCAACTTACGTCACCTGTGGCGAAGGCGAGATATACGTCTGTCAATAAAAGGACGAGTATACTGCGCGGCAGTCCGTTCTGTTTTACTTTACGGCAGCGAAACATGGCCATTAAGAGTAGAAGATACTCGTAAGCTACTAGTATTTGACCACAGATGCCTTAGAAATATTGCTGGGATCACCGGGTAAGTAATAGTGAGGTTAGACGCAGGGTATTAGGGAACGATGGTAAATCAGTTAATGAGGTTGTGAATATTTATCGACTGAGATGGTTGGGCCACGTGTTACGTATGCCTGGACACCGATTACCACGTCGTGCAATGCTATCCGGTATTGGAGATGGTTGGAAGAAAGTTAGGGGCGGCCAAACCAAAACATGGCATCAGTGCTTGAAGTCACTAACTTCTAGTCTGAGCCATGTTGGTAGATGCGTGACTTTCGTAACCAATGGTTAGAGACTCTTGGTGACATGGCTCAGAATCGATCACAGTGGCGTAGGTGCATACACTTCCTGTCTTCCCTTAAACTAAGAGATTAAAATCGCTTCATATCTTTCATTCTACGAACTAATTATTTCTTCCTGTACTGTATCCTTATATGCAGTCTTTCTCCTATATATTACCTCCTTTGACCTAACTACTCCTATGAATCCGGTGTTCATCTTGCTGTGCTAATGAGGTATGGCAACCTGGACCGATGCATATATGTGCCTGGTCCTACGTTGTAGCTGACTGACTAGTATCATAGTAGGCCACAATTCTACACATCAATACAGTTCTGTTGAATGGAGCTGAAACGTGGGGAACTATCACAACCATCACCAAATATGTGCAAGTATTTATCACCAGTTCTCTACGCAATATACTCAATATCCGTTGACCGGAAACCACCATATCTAATAAACTGCCAAGCACGAACTTAGATATGGATCATCACCGCAGTCTATAGTAGTCTTCTTGTTACTGATAAACAAAGATATACTGAAAGTGACAAGTTCCTAGTAAACGATTTCAGAAAATGCTCAATGTTATTATCATTATTAATAACACACTATCTATATGTAAATATTGTAAATATACGTAAGAGTTCCACTAATGTCTTCAGAATATTCACTATATGTTAACAGCCTTGCAATATGGTGAAGAATATTAAGTTGGCATCAAAAAGTGTGTAAATGTTTCAATAACTATGCTGGTGAAAAGTATAGAGATAAACAATGTTATCAATACAACCCATAGAATATAAAACAAATCATCATTGTAGTAAGACTTGATAGTAGGATAAAAGTTTAAGTAGTAACGATTCATGAGGATGCAATGAATATCATAATTAAAAGCAGGGTGACGATGTAAACTATAATATTTTAAGGATAATATGTTCGTGGAGAATATAAAAGTCGATTCTTTTTTGTAAGTATGACAAGATTCTGTGTTTCGCAATCGGAAATACCAGAGAAATGAGCCAAGAGATGTCATGAAAGTACTAAAAAGTATAGACAACGGTGGACTTTGGATATTATATGAGAAATTCAGATGTTTTACTTCTTTTTACAGTTATTTAATTATACACCAAACATTACTCATGTAAATTATTACTATTATTATTATTCAAAAAAATCTTATGGGTACATAAGTTTTGCGAAGAAACCATTTCGAGTTTCTTCAAAAATGCAAAAACACAACTTTCAATAATGTTAGCATTAGATCTGCCATAATGGAATAATAGTAAATCAGTTCCTGTTTAATTGCGAAGAATATTGAGTTGACGTTAAAGAAGGGAAGAGGGAAAATGAGGAAATAGGAATTAAGGAGACGCGAAATTCGTAAATAGTTTATTAAGCGTGTTTGTGAACACAGAACAAAAATAAACGACTATGTATCTACCTGCAAATGAGTAACATAAGTAAACTAAAGCAAAACAAGTAAGAAAAATAACTTAATATTACAGTAAGATATGACGTTAACTCCGCCTGGAGTCCCTCCGGGGGCTACTGCCGGTCCCAAGCCCGGATAAAGGAGGAGGGTTGGGCATGGGGTTAGCGTCCCCATCCCGTAGAAAACTAACTCGCTAAAAAAACGCTAACCAGAAAAAATTATTCAAACCTTTTAAACTCTGCCCTGGGAGTCAGAAGGTCTTCATTTAGAAGAATTATGACGCCTCATGATGAAAGCCGAATTCCTTCGGAAGTTACGAGGCCGATGCCCCTTCTGACAACCAGAGCGACCATTTATTTAGGTACATGGAATGTTCGTACAATGTGGGACACCGGAAGAGCCTTCCAAATTGCTGCAGAAATGAGAAGATACAACCTAGAGGTACTTGGGATCAGTGAAACACATTGGACACAAGTTGGACAACAACGACTAACTACAGGAGAGCTCCTGTTATACTCCGGCCATGAAGAAGAAAATGCACCACATACACAAGGAGTTGCATTGATGCTGTCCAAACAAGCGCAAAATGCGCTTATAGGATGGGAATCTCATGGACCAAGGATCATCAAAGCCTCGTTCAAAACAAAGAAAGAGGGCATTTCAATGAACATCATCCAATGCTATGCGCCTACCAACGACTACAATGAAGACGCTAAAGATCAATTCTACAATAGGCTGCAGTCAATCGTCGAGAAGTGCCCAACAAAGGACCTGACCATTCTGATGGGAGATTTCAACGCCAAGGTTGGAACGGACAACACTGGATATGAAGACATCATGGGACGACACGGACTGGGAGAAAGAAACGAAAATGGTGAGAGATTTGCAAATCTATGTGCCTTCAATAAGCTGGTCATAGGCGGCACCATATTCCCACATAAACGCATACACAAAACCACATGGACTTCACCGGATCACTATACACAAAACCAAATCGACCATATTTGCATCAACAAAACGTTCAGGAGGACTATAGAGGACGTGAGAACCAAGAGAGGAGCTGATATAGCATCAGATCATCACTTGCTGGTCGCCAAGATGAAATTGAAACTCAAGAAGC